CAGTTATTATTAGTATTCATTCCTTATACTTTATCAGGGTGTTAACTTAATTTTTTCAAATGGCAATATACAAATATTTCGTATTTGATTTTGTAAAATGATTATGTAACATACAAACAAATGTTCTATGATGTGGCCATAATAAACCTATTTTTTATAGAATTCTTTTTTAAAGGTAGCTTTAATCTATTGTAGACTTATTGAAACAGAAATTTAACATTAAAATATAAACTAAAAAAATTTTTATTATTTTATGAATTTGTTAAAGCTTTCAAAGATTTTTGTATTATTTGAAATGTTTACAAATGTATCCATTTCTCCAGTTTTTGGCTGACGTTTCGGACTCGTTCAAAATCCATCTTCGGACCGATAACAACTAAATCGTAGTTGTACTTACACTGTCAGCTTGGTTTGTTAATAGTTTGTTTTTATATTGACTGATAATTGATAACGTCGATATTGATTATTTATTTGTTGTTTATTAATATTTTTGCCTAGTGNTTTCGGACTCGTTCAAAATCCATCTTCGGACCGATAACAACTAAATCGTAGTTGTACTTACACTGTCAGCTTGGTTTGTTAATAGTTTGTTTTTATATTGACTGATAATTGATAACGTCGATATTGATTATTTATTTGTTGTTTATTAATATTTTTGCCTAGTGTGTGATTAGTAACCAAGTAAAGCTAATTTTCCATCCAACTTATTTGACAAATGAGTTTCTTTGAACCTTACTATTAATCTCAAATAAACTCAAAATTATTTTCTAATTGTATTTTAATATCGAAATATTTCTAAAGAGATAAAAATTAATTTAGACCTCAAAAAAATTTAGTTAAAACTGCATCTATGGTATATGATTATTTGTTATGTACAATTGACTCTTTAAAATTGTGTTAATCAAATTCAAACATTTTTAAGAAGTCATTCAGAATATTTATTCTAAAACTGACTTTTGTTAATTATACTATAGTCTATTAAAATTGCAGACTTTGAAAATGTAATAACATTTTTCATAGTAACACTTAATTTTTATCAATGATGCCATAGAATGGATTGATAATATTTATTTTTAAGTAAAATTTATTTTATCTAAAAATACATTACATTACTTACAAAATTTACTTTAAAACTCACAATTATCAGTTTTATTAGTGATGGGTCAATCCATTCCTACTATGGGTCAATCCATTCCAAATCATCCAGAAGTGGTTGCATCACTACTTCATTTTTTTCTTAAATTTTCAGGGTTTATTCTTTATGCTGTAATTAGATTAAAACAATTTTTTTTTTATGACCTTCCCACTTTTATGGCTATTTTAATGTAAAAAACCCAGCACAGGGGAGTGGCGGCACAGTGGTGACGTGGTATAGTTGGATCAAGTATAATGATATCTGACAGTGATTAAAATCACTATAAAAAAAAACGCTTCGATGCAAATCTTTAGATAGTGTTTAATTTTAAAAAATTGGTGGATTATTCCAAAAGCTTCATGATCTGCTAGTTCCTTATTAATATCCTGATTAAGATATAGTATGTCAAATGAAAAAGAGATTATTAAAAAATATTATTTCTCATAAAAAATTGTATTGATCCATATATTTTTCAAAAAGTTATAGCATAATAAAGTAAAAAATTTAAATTATAAAATCGAGAATTTTCACACAAAAATAGCATTCGGAAGCCATTTTCACTATGAAGACAAGTCCTGAGGTCAAATTTTTTTTTTCAAATTAAAGGATATTACATTAGCTTTAATTTAAGATATATATAAAAGTGTCAGACTTTCTGGAACATTTTCAAAAATTAAGTTGAAAAAGTTAATTTTTTGTGAAAAAGTTGTCATTTTAAATCCTCCCCTGTGGGCAGATAAAGGGTCAAATTTACAAAAAAAATATACCAAATGATAGGTAAGGACATCAAGCATCTATATAAAAAAAATTATATTGATATGTTCATTTTTGAAAAAGTTACGGCAGTTTTTAGTAAAAAAATTGAAAAAATTAGCGATTTTTAAATTTGTAATTTTTTTGGAGGTTTCCCCCATTTACGGGGAACGAGTGAAATTTTTTTCAAATTTTGAGGGTAATGTCTTCAACTAGATACGATTTGTGATCTTTTGACGTATCGTT